CAAGTAAAGCCGAGTTTCCTTTTTTTTTTTTTTTTTTTTTTGAGTTAAAGAGCCTGAGATTTGAGCACTTTTCCCATCCTAGCCCTCTTCCACAATCACGGATCCATAACGCTTCAGGTCAATTTTTCACATGACTAACGACTACTCTCTTTTTCAACAAAAACAAAAAGAAAAAAGGAGATTATGAATTATGATGGAAGAAACAGTTAATAGAATTATGTGGTATTCTGAAAATGTACCAGCTGAAATGGTTACATAGCTCATTCCTGGATTTACTGAATCAGACCATGGACTGTGAGACTTCAGACACTGAGAGTCTAAATCAAAGCAAGTAAATGATCTACAAATCAAACCAATGACAGATGAACAAGTTCATAAAAGCTTCAAAAGATGTTTATCTTGAAGTGTTAGCTCATAAACATTTACAGAAACACATCCAAATGTTGCATACCTCCTATTTAAGTTACAAGAATTGGACTTTTCACAATAGTGAAACATATACCAATTTAAAAACAAATACCTTTATGAGATGCATTAATTCAGTAACAAGTCTTGCTTTTTGGGTATTTATTTCTTTGATCTTTACATTTGCCTGTTGAGATTCCTTCTCTAGGCTGATAGCATCTTGTTCCAGCTGTCTTAAACTATGGGAGGAATTAATATTTGATTAATTATGATCAAAAATAAATCGTACAAATATACAAAATTCTTAATATTGGCAATGAACCAACAGTTAGCAAGCACAGGAATTTGTATACCTAAATATTCCAAACACATTAGAGGCATTCCCAATCTATGTACTTTAAACCTGGCTACTAAGGGCATTACTTGGCAACCATACTCCTTTACTTCTATAAATTTCACATTAAAAAAAAAAAAAAAAAATCTATGTAAGCATACCATTTCTCTTCTGCTGCTAGCTCCTTGCAAGAATACAACACAGGAGCGTTCAGGAGGTTTGCTTAATTACTGTTATTTATACCAGTAAAAAAAAAATATCTCCTCCACTTACTGCAGATCCCCAGAATTTTCATTTGCTTTAAACCTCAAAACCGTATGATTATGAAAAAACTTCATATGAAATCGTCATGATGTTTAGTGAGCTGCAAAGCACTTGGGGATCTACAAGTCCAGAGGAGCACAGGGGCACCCTAGCAGGCGGGAACCCAAATTAAGGACTGGGAGGAAGGGACACCCTGTCCCAGGACAGCCTCAGCACCAGTAACCAGGTGTGAAACCCAGCAAGGTAAGTCAACACCACAGCACCCTCTGGACTAAGGGGGGTCATTTCCTGGGGGTATAGGAGACATTATGGGACGCAGCAGAAAAGCATTTTGCAACTGTGCAGGACTTGCTATTGGATGCTCAAGGGAGAAGCCAAATGCAGTGAAACGGAGGAATCTAGATGACTCCCAGAGGAACAAGTGTGGGAAAACTGAGGGATATGGGCATAAAAGGGACAGTAACATGTAATCAGTTGGCTGGTCAATAAGCTTGTCCGGCTGGTCAATACGCTTGTCCAGCCATGCCCAACTGGCACACTCTCTTCTTACTCAGTTCCATCTTTCACTCTTTTCGTGGGTGAGGGACTCTCTTTTCAGCATTCATGTGTGTGTACGGGAGTCTAAGTGCAAGCAACTATAACCAGATCACAAGTCAGAGGAGAGGGCCTTCTTGTCTGTGTTGCCAGCAACTGGAGAGTCCAGAGTAGGCCCAAGTGACAGCCACTGGAGTGGGACCACAGGTCAGAGGCCCATGTGTCCATGGTGCCAGCACCTGGTACAAGTCCAGGTGTGCAAGTGAATGTCTGATCCCTAGCAAAGACCAAGCTAACTAGCTGGCAAGTAGGTGAAGTGGCCTGGGAGCCAAGCTCACTAAGGGTGAGACCACGGGAGGAGATGGCTACTGGAGGGACCGGGGAGTCCAGCCTGGCTGCCAGAGACCATGAGGTCTGCTGTCTCTAGGGGTGAGACCTGCTGGCCTGTGTGTATATTTAAGGGTAAGATGGCAGAGGTGCTGGCTATTGGGAGGGGGCGGGCAGGGTTTAGGGGAGTCATGGCTACCTCTGCACATTTGTATGCCTCAGTGTCTCTGAGGGCAAGACCATGGAGTTGGCTACAGAGAAACCAGGGAGTCCCAGCCATTTCTGTATGTGTGTGCACACAGGTGAGTGAGAGAGCCTATACAGGCAACAGGAGCAGAGCTGCAGCCTCAGGGCCCTGCATGTCCAGGTACCAGCAACTGGGGAAGACTGAGATCCAGGAACAGCTACTGCACAGATTCAAGAGTGTCCGGATCCAGCTGCTGATGGGATCCACATTGCCCGTATGTATGCGTAGCAGTCTCACTAGGGGAGCCCTGTCCTTCTCAGACAGACTAGGAGCATGGTTAGGCCACTGGTTCTGTGTCTGCCCAATTGCTCTGTGTATCCATCTGTGCTGTGTGGCTGGGCTGGCTGCATGTAAGTATGTACACAGATGCTGTTTAGATATGCTCTGTGTGAATGTGTCTACTGGGAAGACAGTCTCAGCCTCAGCACTGGTTGCACCTGGGAGCATTAAGCCACCTTAGTCTCAGGCTGCTGGATCTGGACCCATTCCCCGAACTTTTTCAGCGCTGTCTCCCACAATACTGTTGTACTCAAGTTGGAAGACTACAGTCTGGCTGGATGGAAGACCAAGCAGGCAAAAAAACCCCGTGGTTGGATGGTCAGGCTCTGAGGTTCATGGTTAGCCCATCGTATTCCGCCTGGAGGCCAGTACTCAGGTCCCCAGGATTAAGACCCAGGCCCTGCCCTGTCCGATGTCCCCAGCAGTGACACGGAGTAGCTGACAGACAGCACTCCTGCCATGCCTGCCAAGGACATGCCGTTGGGTGCAAGGGGCACGTCCCTCCGAGGGCCTGCATGGGCAAGGGGTTGGGAGACACAGCGAGGACACACGCTGGGTCCTGCCCCTGCAAAGGCAGCGTGCCTGGAAGAGACACAGGCTCCGGACACACTAGCTGGGGAGAAGCTCTGCAGGGAAGGGCTTGAGGTGTTGGTCGGCATAAGCCAGCAGCGCGCCCTGGCAGCGATAAGGTTCTCCAGCATCCTTGGCCATGTGAATGGAAGCAGAGGCAGGAGAAGAGTCATTTTTCCAATCTGTTCAGCACTGCACGCACTTGTGCCCTCCGTCCCAAACATCAACAAACTGGAGCAAACTTGGAAATCAACCAGGTTAGTCTAGGGCTAGAGCACAGGCCCTGCAAGGACAGTATGAGGGTGCTCACATTGTTCACTGCAGGCAAGAGACAGCTTCGGGGCACCTAACAGAAACTCACCCATCCCTTCCACAAGGAAGCCACTGACAGGATGGAACCAGGCCCTTGTAAGAGCTGCAGAGTAGAAGGATGACACACAGCGGACATAAGTTGGAACAAGAAATACCCAGACTGGATGTCAGTAGAAGCCTTTTCCCCCTAAGCACAGTCAAGCAGTGGAATAGGATGTCCAAAGAGCTCATGCAGTCTCCACAGAGACTTTCAATATGCAGTGGGATACAGCCCTGAAAACCTGGTCTGAATTCAGTGTTGACCTTGCTTTGAGAACACGGCTGGACTACAGAGTACACAAAGTCCCTTCCAATCTAAGTGATTGCCATTGCATATTACTTACAAAATTATATCCAGCTTTGTTCAGATACTCATATAAATTAGAAATTCGAATATTTGAAAACAGCTATACTTGCTGCAAGGATTATTTTATTAATTTCTATGTCTACAGAAAGACATCCACATTACACAAGAAAGTTTGTAACAGCCTTGACTTTAGTTGTGTCAGGATTCTTAGCCCTATTCAAAATTTACAGTGTAATTTCTTTTTCAAATGGAAGGATTTAATAAATATTTGTCTAGGTAAAGGGTCTGCCTCCCGCCTTCAAACTGTAGTCCGTATCCTAGTAAAAGATGATGACACTACATACATCTGCAATAAGAAACCAGAGAGTAACACTTGGCTTTGAGGCTAATCTCACATCCAAACTGTTTAAAGCTGCTTCTTTTCACAGCACTTTTGACTATACAGCAGTTGATTCTGGTCCCTCTGACATCCCTGAAGCTCTGTTCTTCCCACCCAACAAACCCCGTACTCTCTTTTCAGTTTAATGCACCGTAAGTAACACAAAAGCTGGGCACACAAACACCAGCATCAACTTTCAGAAAATGAAAAGAAGTGTGGCTTAAGAACATACAGGAGTATTTGAGGGTACATGGTCTGCTGGGACTGTGTTACTGGAGTGGAGGGAGTGAAGCCTCGGGCAATCTTGACTACACTGCCATCTGCCAGTGTAAGCTTAAGTGAAATACCTCTTGAACCATGCCCAGGTTCTCCCTTATGCCAAAACAGTGACAAAAGAACTAATTGCAGAGGCCCACAAAACCAGAAAAGATGTCAAGACAAATACTGAGGACAGTCAGGGGCCAACTCAATCCCTGACATGCCTACTTAGTACCATCTATGCACGTTATGGCATTATCTAGGTATGTGCTACCAAGACAGAAGGCTATGGTAATATTTGAGCAAATGAGTGCAAAGATCTCTCACCAGAATCGTATGATTTTATTACAGGAAACTATCTGAAACATTGCTACATTGTTTCTCAAATACTGTCTTAATCTCCGTCTCTAAACACCTTCTTTGTCTTGATTATCACCTGTATCTGATGCTCAACTACCAGTTACTCTGTAAAGGTGAAAGTACACTGCAGTAACAGGAACCCAGAATACCTTTATTATTATAGTTGTTCATGTTTCATACATAATACAGTTTGTTTCCTACCTATCATACTTCATAGCAATTTTTGATTCCAGCTGTCGCCTCCTGTTTCCTGTCTCTAAAAGCTCCTTCTTCTGATGCCTGAGCTCATTGTCCCTGCGTTCCAGATGTTTCTGTCTCTCAAACAATGTAGTCAAACGCATATCCAATGACTTTAATGCGTTATTGATGTCCTGAAATAAAAGAACACACACCACTAGCATTCTTACTACAAACATACCATACCAAGACATGCAAGTAGTCTATGCCTATTGCACGATAAAATGGGTAGTAGTTCACATCATACCCAGCACAGAAGTAAATTCCTACCTGTTGCTGGTTTTCCAACTGTCTTCTTTCATCTGTATCCACTGAACTAGTAAGAAACTGTGCCACCCTCAGGGATGTGTTAGTGGTGAGGGTCAGGTTTGTATAAGCAGATACTTTCACAACGTATCTTTCTTCTGCTGTGTATATTTGCTTAAGTCTGGTTTCTTGTATGACCTAAAAACATACAAATGTATTAACCTGACTAAAGCGTTATTTAAGGCAATGCTTTTCAGAACAAGGAATAAACTAGCTAAGATCCACAGTAAAGAATTTCAGCTTACGTAAGACTGTTAACAAGCCTTTGCAAAAAGATGATGTTAAATTTAATGCATCATTATACTTGTAATTCAGACTGGCCAGCAAAGAACTGTTAAGACTCTGACAGACAGAGTAGTATGCTACCATAACCAGTTAACCAGGTTCTGATTATTCTGACATTACAGATACACACTGGAAAAATCTGTTAATATTCGTACTACATCATGAACCAGGATTCTACTTGCTGTAGATGCATAACATGCAAACATAGCCTGTGTACCAAAGAACCAAAAGTACTTAGGAAATTACCAGATGAAACCATAAGGTGAGCTGTAATGCATGAACTTCAGTGAAGTAACTGTATCTGTAGGAAAAAAAATGCAGCACAAAAACACTAGAGTTGCTACTTTTAAATGACTCATGTCAAAAAGGATAATTATAAATGACCAAAGATTTACCATCACGCAAGGTAGTACAGGACGTCAAAAGGATTTAAGTTGTCCAGCACAAAAGGAACATCAAAAAGCCTCAACAGATTATATAAACTGCACCAGCAATATACTCTTGATTTGGTTGCTGGACACTGAAAACCGCATTTACTTTGCTTTACAGCTCAGACTGTGGTTGATGACATTTCCATCATAGTCCTTTTTCCATATGCTCAGCTCTAGGAAACAGGTTCCCTTTAAAACTAAAATTTTCTCTGGCACATGTGAAACAAAATGTTGCAAACAACGCATTTCTCAATCAAAAATAATAAAAACAAAGAAAAAACTTTACACAACTGAACTGCGAAAGTGCCACATGCAACACATTCAGAATAATGGCTCATCTTTGCCCCCAGACCAGTGATGTTTCACTTGGTGCCCACAGAGCTCTGGAAAGGAGGGAGTATCTAAGTGGAGTTTCTGACTGGTTTACAAAATGTGACTGAAAGACCTATTATACAGGTAACCTGCTTCATCTGGTGCTAAAAACTATGTGGTAGAAGAACTGACGTTTAAAGAAAAAAATACTCAGAAAAAACATTAAGAGAAGAGCTTGTCATCCAGGACTCCCTTCTCTTTTACTTTGCTCTTTCTCATTCTTGGAGCCTCAGAAACATCGAGGATAGGAAGGAGCAACAGCTGTCCCAAAAAAACAGGAATTGTTCTCTATTCGCAGAGCCTGTTCCCTGAGTTTCTCAAACAGGCAACTCTTCTTGTTCTCAGAGTCCAAAATAGTCTTCTCAACTCCAAAAAGAGTTCACTCTGTGTATAAGATACATAACAGAAGTCCAGCACAGACTGAGGAGTGAATAAGTATGTAAACTGAAAACTGTCATGTGCGTTACCCATTATAATCCAGCAACGATGAGCTTGCAAGAACCTATGAAAGACTAAGGTAGGGAGACTACTCCTTGTGGGACCTCTTAGCCTATTTCTAAGAATCCAAAACGTTCACATACTATTTATTACATCAATTCTGATCAAAGGTATACAACAGTATTTGCCAGAAACTGAACATCTTAATGCATTTAAAATAATAATAATGATAATAAAGCAGCTTCTAAATGTTGCTTCAAATGCAATGGGTCAGCATTATTCTGTGCTATGAACTGTTACATCAAAATTTTGCCCAGAATACCTCAGGCACTTCAAACAGAAGTTATTATAATAAAATGACATCATATAACTGCCCTGGAACAGTAAGCAGGTGAAAGATATCTAACTTTCTGTGAAGTACTGCATTAGATTGACTGGATTTGTTAAAACGTCTTGCAACACGTTTGTGTATAATTAACTGTTCTCACTGCTAGAGGCCAAATAAAAGGCTACAGCAATTTTTTGCTTTCTCCACATCATCTTGCCAAAGAATTTCCAAAATAAAACTCTAGACCACAGGTGTGTTTGTACTATTTAGGACATCTCACCCTTTCAATCATGTTTCTGGTCTTCTCTGTTCCCACAGGGACATCATGAACACGGTACTGGGAGCAAAGATAACTCATCACAGGATGAGGAGCATCAAATAACTCTCGTAAATACGAGAAAAATCCGTATCGGCTGAAGAAGAGAAAAAAAACCATGCATCAGAAATAAAATTTGGCAGGTAAGCCAGTTGAAGTCACCAAAGGGTCAGAAAGAAGTCCTGCTAACTCAGAACTGAATTGGTGAAAATTTGTCTTCTGCAGAAAATTTCAATATATAGCAACACCACCAAAGGTCGGTTCTGGATCCAGCCGCACCTAGGCTCCTCTCTGAGCAAGGGTTTAGAGAGCAAGAACCTGGTGACTCAGTGGGAGAGTCAACCTATTCCCTTACACTTTCTTGCACTCTGTGTAAATCATTTTCCACTCAAAATCTCCTCCGATTTTGTATTCCACTTACTTAGTAAGTCATAGAGTGAACCTAGCCAATGAACTCTGTAACATCACATTTCCTAAATTTTCAGTAAAATCTTTTCTTGCAAAACCTGTGAGTGATCATTTAAGTGACCTAACCACTCATTCGCGACAACATTGTATTTAAAACCATTCCCCACTGATCTAATCTGATACATACTGTAATTCTTCAATAGGTCTCGAAGGTAAGCTTTCAGCACACGATACGGCAGGCGCACAGACAGCATTCACTCTTAGTTTCTGACGATCGCGCATCTAAATACAGATTACATTAGATTATTTGGTAAAAAAGGGCAGAAAAATACACTACATGAAAGTCAAGTATTTATTCTTGATTCACAGATTCAGGATTATTTTAAACTGACAGCTTCTGGAAGAACCCACAAAAATCCTCTCTGGCTCAGGCACAACTGAGTTCTCTAAAAGCCAAGCTTAGTTAATGTCTCTGCATGAAAATATCACGCACTAGAGAAAACAAAAGCAATCAGAGAAATCTAGAGCCAGGTGCTCAATCTAAATAGCTATTTAGATTTAGTTTAGCTAAGCTGAATGTAATAAGGAAGCACTCTCTGTCAAGCTGTATGGCCATTTTGCACAGATAATGGCAGATCACTGGCTACAGAGGCTCTGGAAAGCCTGATCCTAGCAGGACAGAAAAGATTGAGGACACCAATGAAAGATCAGTTTGGCTGGTTAAAGCAACCTTGCACTGGGTTCCACAACCATGGAGGCAAGAGAAGCCCCACAACCTCAAATATCACCACTACTGCTCATGTATATAAAATGACTAGGTTCGGTGAAGGGTAGATAGATCTTAAAAAATTTTAGGACAGTTTGTCACTAATCACACTATTCTGCAGACAGTAGTTGGGAATAGATAGATTATGACAGATAACGTCGTATCTTGTGGCTTTTTTCTCCTGTGTCATCTGTCCGGCTCTCGAAGGGAACACTCTTCCTTACTGCTCCAGGAGACAGCAGTAGTAAGAAAATATAAGCTTGATTTGCTGCTAGGTCAACTGTCTTCTCACAAAAGATGCCCTCTTGCGTCTTTAGTCAGGAGGCATTGGAAATGCTCCGTACTAAATTTGTAGCTTCCTGCTGTCTTTGTTTGTACACAGTATTTTCTCCTCAGTGATTACTGCCTTGTCAAGGAAGAGGAAATTTATTTCTAAAAAGAAATATTCTCTTAATATTCCTGCATCCCTCCAGTTGGTCTAGGCCTTAAAAAAAAAAAAAAAAATTTACTCCAGAAGGAAACATTTGAATACTTTGTATTAGCTATTGTGCTGATATTGCCAATCAAAACTTAATAAATACAGATTTACTTGGTAGACTCCGAAGTTTAGGGCTCCTACATCAGTATTTAACTAGTTTTAAAAACTGGTATCTACTTACCTCCACAAGAAACATTTCCATATCCTCTTGACTCTCAAATACAAAAGCCCTCATGTCATTAGCCGAAATGTGATTTTCAACATATTTAGCATATCTGTTGTCTTTCATATTGATCTGATAAAGAAATGTAATGAAATAGAGATTTAATACAATTGGACTTAACAGGCTCCCAAAACATTTTAAGCAGTCAGATGATATCCAAGCTTACATTTAATGAAAACAAAGACAGTGTTGAAATGTCTTTACAGACATATTCCCTGTCTTATTGCAACCAATTCTCTTGTGAGGAAATCTACAGTAACTCACATGTCATTGTGTTTATTTTAGCCATCTATACCCTTTCTTAGCATTCCTGGAGCCATCTCTGTCTCCACCATACCAGGTCCTCGCCTCTTCTACTCCACCCTAACCTTACAATTGCAATCACCACCATCTCATGTCTAGTGGCTCTGCTCCAGTACCACTAAAGGTACCTCACTGTTTAGAAGCAGCTAACCTAAGGAATCAAAACCAGAAAATGCCACACTCCACAAACTATTTATATGCAGTTCCCTTTGATTTGGACACAGTGAACATCACCAAATGTAAATACAGAATTGTGAAGCCCTGAAAAGACAGAGATTCACAGATGGACTTAATTATCTTCAAATTCTTAAAAAAAAAATCCACATTTAAGATGGATGAAGCTTTTCCTATCTGAATGAAATGTTGATGTTAGAATCCTTCAGTAATTGTCAATAATAATTAGATATTATGTCACCATACGTGACAAACATAGGCAAAATTACACAAACTACACAATTCAACAACCTCAAGTTAGCCCAAGGCTGGGTACATTTACTAGCAATGTGAAAGCTAGAATTTATAGGTACTTCAGACTAACTTACATTATATCAAAGAAAACAAATTCATACATTAGTGGATGTTGCAGAGATTAACGAGGCCTTAAAGTAAAAGCAAAGGCATCCTATCAAGGCATCTGTAAAATTAATTTGTTGTGATATTCCAGACAGAATTGGAAGTTCTCGTAAAAACAGCAAATACTTGGTATTTTATACTAAACAAAAGTAATTTTGAATTGTTCTAGCGCATGCACAAAGCATAAGAATTGATATACAAATATTCCACATTCAACTACTTTAAATTGTAGCAATATACTATTAAAACAAGCTTGCAGTTCTGAAGAGGAAGAAGAATGCACTGGAGTTCTTTGTCCTCTTCACATTATAGGGAGCGCATATTATGAGAGGCTGGGATAATGGTGGAGGAATGCACTAGAAAACCAACAGCCTCTCTGAAAATGTATTCCTGCTATTCCCAGGAATAGCAGCGTCTATCAAACCAAAACACAAAACAAAACTAGGACAGATCAGGTGTTTTCTGTGTCTGTAGCTGGCTTTGCAAGGCAAACCCCAAAAACACCTGGGGGTCACTGGAGAGAGACCAGCAGAGGGCTACAAGGATGGTGAAGGGACTGGAACATCTCTCCTATGAGGAGAGGCTGAGGGAGCTGGGCTTGTTCAGCCTGAAGAAGAGAAGGCTGAGAGGGGACCTAATATATACTTACAAATATCTGAAGGGTGGGTGTCAGGAGGATGGGGCTAGACTCTTTTCAGTGGTGCCCAGCTACAGGACAAGGGGCAATGGGCACAAACTGAAGCACAGGAAGTTCCGTCTGAACATGAGGAAGAACTGCTTCGCTCTGAGGGTGTCAGAGCACTGGAACAGGCTGCCCAGGGAGGTTGTGGAGTCTCCTTCTCTGGAGATATTCAAGACCCGCCTGGACGTGGTCCTGTGCAGCGTGCTGTAGGTGACCCTGCTTTGGCAGGAGGGCTGGACTAGATGACCCACAGAGGTCCCTTCCCACCCCTACCATTCTGTGATTCTGTAATCACAGCGTCATGTTGTAGCTGTTACTGAGCAGGGTGTGCTATAAGGGAAGGTACTCATTTGTAACTACTACTGCTTTTTTAAGCAGCAAGTAAGAACTACTTAAGCATAAATAACTGGATGTACCTTAGAGGAAATCTGGAATGGGGACCTTAATAAAAGACTGCTCCTTGAGGAGGAAAAAGAGAAGGAACCACCCCATCTTATTCACTGTTGAGTATTACTGCATTGCCTACGAATTAAAATTACAAATAGTTCACCATCCTAATGTATCCTGCATGTAACTGGCACTGGCAGCTCTTTCAAGATGTGTCTTGCAAGTCTCAAAGTCATCCTCAAAGTCTCACAAGGCATAAATATACTAAACACTGACTGGTTAGAGTGATATACAAGTAAATGTTCTTACTTCAAGCATCATGGGTTCACAAACTTCTTTTTTAAACTTGTCTTTGCTCTTTCTTAGCCACATAAGAGCACAGTGTGTGTCTCGGAATCTCCCTTTAAGCTTCTCTTCCTTCATATTCATTATATTATTAAGTTGTTCAAGGCGATCAATTATCCCTGTAATTTAAGGTAGTTTCTGAAACAGAGTTCATACCAGGTACACATCACAATTAGCATTTTCCCCGTATCTATTAACTATGCTACTCCAGCAATAAGGTTGTTAGGAGACTGCAAGAATTAAGAGTTTCTCTTCCCACAGTCAAGAACCTGCTTATTCTAAAGAAATCTTAAGAACTATTAAAGCTGAAAATCTAAAATAAAATCAAGACTTACCTGAAGTACAATGAAATGCGTAGCACAACGAAAACATTGGAATTCAGTCCTAAAAACATCTCTCTTCCAAACTTGTTCTACCTTTGTATTCAAAACCAAAAACACCTCAGGAGGAAAGCGGTAGTGGGACCAGCAATGTGAAATCTCCGAGAGTTATTCCATGCTTGCAGAAAGCCAAATGTGTGACAATAGACTATGTGCAAAAGCATTTGCTATTCAGGAGAAACAGAGATTAAACACTTTCTGTGCTTCTCAAGGTAAAACACATAGTGTCTACTTCCTGAGGTCACTCGGTCTCTCTATACCTCAGTTTATTCTTGGATTCTGTGACAAGTTAACTGCCAGACAGATAGGTACGTGCAAACTTATTACACTCACCAAGGAATATATACAGCACTCCCTACTCGCCCGGCTATAATGTTTGGATTTTGTTTCTTAGAAACAACTAATTGTAAACCCTAGGCTAGTATAAAGGAATTTATACTAGCAGCATCAGTAGCTAAGATACTGCCAAAGAGATAACTCTAAACACGGCATCTTCAAAGCAAACTGCTTTTGCGTTAGGTTTGGTTTTTTGTATCCTGCTAACAGTACCCACCTTCATTTAACAACAGAAAAAATTGAAACTGGCAAAGCAGTCTCATTACCCAGTGATCAGAGGAAACTAATCTTTTGAAGGATAGTTTCAAGGTCAATTGCCACTTTTGAATCTTCTTGTTCTTCGTACTTTGAAAAAGGTTTCTGCTACTTTTAACAGAACTGATAACAGACAAGAGGACTGCTATAAACATAAGATACAACTATGACGCTCGAGGTAAATGTCTCAAATTATTTTCACTACAGCAGGACAAGTAGATTCTGTACAAACAGTCATAAGAAAAAGAAGAAAAATCAACAAACAAACCCACAAGTAACTTACTTTTCTTTTCCCTCTCTTGGTTCATTTTCTCTGCTGTTAGATCACTGATATCACTATCAATATTTGCCCTTTCCTCTTGTAATTTTTTCAGTTCATTATTAACAGCATCAATTTGTGGCTGAAGATTCTCACAGGCTGCCATCATACTGAGCTCATTCTTCCAGTCCTCTATCATCTTGTGAGTGTTGTGTATTTTCCTCTGTCTGTCCATTTCTTCATCTTTTTTCATTCTCAAAGCTTGATTAATTTCTTCAATCTGAGAATTTTGAGTATTTCCAACATTAAAGGAGTTTAGTATACAAAACCTATGACAAATAATTAGGCTATCTGTGTAACTGGTATTAAATGCTGATGTAACCGTACACTAAAACAATAAGAGTTTGTTATAGCTCCAGTAGCCCTGTGACAGTTGAAGAACGGACAAGATTTTGTTAGGATTTAGGAACATTTAAGCAAAAATGCAATCAAGACTTAAAACCAATTTTTAAAGTTGCTTTATTTTTACAAAAGCAGAAGCTTAAAGCTCAAGATCTTCCTTAACACATTTGAAAGTTAATCTAAGACTTCATAAAACCTATAGCACAAACATAATGTGCAACATATATAAGGGTGCAGAGTCTATTTAGATTATACATTTCTGAACCAAGTGCTTAGATGAAGCTCTGTAACTGTTTTACAACATAACTTTTTTTTTTTTTTTTTTAAAAAATGCTGACCATATACACTTCACAGAAGCAACAACCCTGGCCTCTCGCATAGAATAGTTGACAGAATGTTTAAAGCTGAGCGCATTACCGTACTATAGAGGCTGTAGCTTTTCAAGGAAAGCCCATAATATATAGTATATGTATACACACTGTCTATTCCGAAGTTTGTTGCATTAAGGTAACTGATTTAATACAGCATACACCTGCAGCACACCTGTTTGACTAACGGGATTTAAAGACTGGAGGAAGCAAAGTGTGCAAGCACTTCAGCCTCTTAATTTCTCTCTCAGCTAACAGCAGAGCACACAACTCCCCCCCCATATCTGTGTTTTACTGCAAAATTTAAGTAGCACTCCACCTGAATGCAGCATATGCTACTGCTAGTACTGAAATAATACATTAGCAAAGAAACAAAAAAAAAAATCATAAATATCAAGATTCTTACTTGTTTCTCTTTCATCTCCAAAGCATCTTGCTTCTGTTTACATTTTTGAGAACTGTCTTTGATTTCAGCAGCCTGCGTACAGTAAGATATTTAAATTAGTTACAAATTCAGCTATATTTGTCAAAAGCAGTCCTATTTTAATAAACATTCTGTATATGCGTAACTAAGCATTTATTCCACATTTTGTTACTGACAAGTTATACTCACCAGTTTCTTATTATTCTTATGTGTATCTGTAACATGTATAATTTCAGCAATTTGTGAAGAACTGAACAATGGCATATAAAATATTCATAACCATCCAAGGCGTAGGCACCCATGTCTCTACTCTTTCTCTATCCTTCTCAGCTTCCATACAATTTAGAAAAATATAGGTTGGAATGGACTCCTGGGCATCACCCAGTTCAATCCCTTGATCAGAGCAGGTCTTATTAAGTCAGGTTGCCCAAGCAGTTGTACAGCTGAGTCCTGAACACAGCCAAGTGTACTATGCTTTTTCTACAAACGTAATTCCTCCTTCCCTGAACCTTCAAGGCTGGAAACAGCACAAGCAGAATACTGGAACACTGCAGAAATCAACCAGCAGACACTGTGATGAGGAGTATAAGCCTTCATCTTAAGACCCCCAAAGACCACCCGAGGACGCTAACAGACAAGAGTGAAAGACATCAACACATGCTAATTAGTTCTTAGAAAAGTAATGAATATGCTAAGCATTTCTCAGAAATATAATGAATATGTATACTGTGACTGTCTTTAACCTGAAATGACAGGGAGTTTGGTGCACACGTTTGGAGGAGAGATCCCCCGTGTGCCCGGCGCCATAATAAAGAATACCTGCTTAATAGTCTGACGAATATTGAGTCTTCAATTCCGGCTTCTCACAGCATCATTTCTGGCGACCCAGATGGGACCCACTCTGCTTGGCTGCAGGACCTGCTGTGAACAGGACCCCCTAGGGTACCCCTGGGATTTCCCAGAGGGACTCTGTGCCTCAATCAGATCACTGCGGGAGCAGACAAGTACCAACTAAAGGAGCAAAGGTATTCTTTTTTTCCTTTCCTTTCTTTCTCTGTTTGGGAATCTGAGACCGATCATTTGCAGAGTTCTGGTAAATTGTAGGAGACGTCCCACACTGAGCGCTGTATACCAGGCTACTATCGCCTGAGGGTATACATTTTCGTACATTGGTATAAGCATGGGTTAAGCTTTGCACTTCTGTAATAATGGACTCTCGGTAGTCGTATGCTGGTACAAGCATGGGTTCAGCTTTGTACTTCTCTAATAATGGACTTTCGGTATTGGTACGCTTAGGAAACCCGCTTAAGTTGTACTTATTCTGGCAATACGGATTTGTTGGTACTGAACTCAGACATCAGACATCTCAGATAATGGCTTGTTAACATACCCCTGAGGCATCATAAAACTGACAATTGAGTATGAATGTGTGTGAATGTGAGTTAACTGGTGAATGAATCTGTAACTGAAAAGCGGTACAGCTGTAAAGTGGGGGTGAAAAACTGGGCATTTCACCGTGAACCTCTTTTTCTCCTAAACTGTTTTATCTGCGACCCAAATATTGTGACATTGTGGAACGTGGTCAGAGTGGGACAGAGGGGGATGACAGGTTAAAGTTGTTAAAATAATCTGTGGAAAGATAACAGAATTACAGAATCAGTAAAGTGGGGGGACAGCAAAGCAGTGGTATTTTAAAGAAAACACCTTAGGATGTATCCTAGCACACTGGAAAGATTGTATGACTGCGTGTGAAACTTCTGTGTGAATGACAAATAAGTCAAATAAGTAAAAATAAGTACAAAGCGAGTGTGGAGTTCTGCTCTCCTGTGAAAGAACCAGCCGGAGACGAATGAAGCAGGAAAAACACAAAACCAAACAAAACACCCAAAGGAAAAAAAAAACAGGCAAAAAAACCACAGGAAAAAAAAAAAGGGAGGAAAAAGAGAACAACCCCTGCCCCCCCCCCCCATGCAATTTGGTATGTTCTGCAGGTATTGATTATTTCTGGGTTTTGACTTGGGAGTGTTGTATTTAGACTCTGATTTATCAGGGCTGCGGTTTATAATTTCTTAAGTATCGGTGCAGCGTCTTCCCTTTGGGGGGGGGGGAATTTTAAGAAAGTCTCTCCTAGGATGTATATTGAAATACTGCAAAAAATAGGGGGACCCCCCAACTCGAATACCACTTAATAATGTATGGGGTTTATTTTATTTAAAGAAAAATTGGCACTATTTAGGAATTGAATTGGGAACTGGTTTTGAAATACTTATAAGTTAGTATATATTGTAGGGTTCCAAGTTTTCTAGTTATTTGGCATTGATCAGTCATTTCAGGACTCTGGTTTTGGGGTATGTATTAAATATATTGTATATATTGTTTTAAATAAGATCTATGTGTATATATATAAAACCATATTAGTTGAAGTAATTTACCTGTATATATTGTTGTACTTATGGGATACACAATTTGTAAACAGAAGGATTTTAAAAGATCCCTTCTAGGATGTGTGTGTGTGTGTGTTGTGTTAACCAATCGGTGAAGAAACTGAGCAGCTCTTTTATTGTAACGTGAGCTTCGGGAGGAGATGATCCCCTCACAAAGAAACAATTAGACAAAAATATAGGAGATGAAAAGTTTAACGCAGTATTGGAAAAAAAACTATAAATAACAGAATATCCCTCTGGATTTTATGAATGGTGGTGTATAGCGATTAAGACAAAAAAGTATCAAGTTACCAGCTTCTTTAGCTGCTGCTCTGAATGGCAAAAAAAAGCAGGGGAGTACTTAAGTCAAGAGACAGAAAGACGGAATGAAAAGGGGGGGGGGGCGA